GGTCGTTTCTGCTCCCTACACTCTAGACAAGACAGAGTAAGACTCCCTAGTTTCTGGTAGCAACTGTCGACAACCAGCTCATGCTGGTTGCAAAAGTTTTAATGAATAAATGTAAACTCTGGAAAAGGCACCAGTAACGGCTACTCTCATCACGCTGCTCTAATCCTTCAATGCGATCGCATTCGAATGTAACGCATAGATGATCAGCCCGTCAAATGGAGAAAAAAATCGGGTAGAACAGAAGAAAACCAAGGAGAGCGGACCTTCCCGTTGAAACGGCTAGAGCCCGAAGGCGAGGGACGGGTGGTGGGCGGAAGGAGTAAAAGGGCTTGCCGTGTCCCCACTTCCCTCTCAGAAGCGCTATCTTGTACTTTCTTGTAGGCACAGAATGTCTTTCTAGTAACAACATTTGCCCTTCACAGCACACAGTTCATCGTGCTACCTGCGCCTTTGAGCTGAAGCGCGTAAAGATGTCTCAGATGATGTAAATGGTACGCTCCAACTCGGAGTATACTGACACGGTTAAAAGGGAATCTAATCATGTGGAGGAGTACGGTTTGCACCACAAGTGGTAGGCCAAATAAATTATGGTATTGAACAGAGTATAAAAAACAGCAAAAAATATTCAGCCTGCTCACATGCATGAAGTCAACGGTACCAAGGCGTAGTCGCCACGCGATCTAAGACAGAATTTCCTGCCTTACTTTGCTCAGCCACGTAGGGATCACACAGAAGCATTGTGAAATGATGGAAAGGCTTCAGGAAAGGATCCTTTTTGAGCATTCGCGTCCTGCCCGCGGGATGTTTATCTCGTAAGTAAAAGTTAGCACGAGCGACGGAACAGGCGAAACGGACACGGCGTGAGGCCCGGCTGCTGCTGAAGGACAAAGTTAGGAATGTTGCGGGTGACTAGAGACTTGGTGTTGGACACTTATAATGTCACCTTGCGGTGTTTCAGTGGATTTGATATAAGAATATGTACAAAAGAGAGTAGAACGCCTTTATTGTATGGCTGCAAGAGGAAGGTATAAGGTTGTGGTGTCTGTTCTTGCTTATACAGTATGGGCACGTCCCCGCCAGAAGTGAGGTCGTGAGGGAATCATCATAAGCTGCGCAGGCGATGACATGAAACCATAAGAAAACCCTTAGATCGTGAGCCTTACCGTATGGATAAGTATCACAGTACAAGGTACAAGAACGAGGAGTGAGGGTTTCAGATAAAGAACCCTTGATAGAAGGAACCACTTTCTCCCCAGGACTGCGATACAATGCATAAACCCCTCCGACAAAATGCGACCCTTCGTTTCGAACAGTTCGAACGGACGTTTGACCTGTCTGAGGGTACTGTGACACTTGTTTCATCTCAGGAAAGAGTAATTAGCTGTTTTTTTGTTTAGTTTTTTCCTGAAGCGCCCTTCGAGTACGGTTCCGTATTCTTTCACGAACTCTCGCATCTGCTGGGACTCACACATTCAGCTCGAGCTGACTGCTATGCCTCCAAGAAGATCATGGCAACCGGCTTCGCATAGAAGTAGTAGTTTTATAACATCCCTCCTCGAATCAAATAGTCAAGAGAACCCTATAGACCGATAGTTCCAGACGATTGCTATGACTTGATACACTTTCAGTTCCACCCTCCATGCTCCGCTCCCTTCCCTATTTCTCCGAAGGCGTGTAGAAGGGGGCGGAGATGCTCACATAGCCCTAGGCTCCTGAAAAAGCAAATTCTGCACAATTAATGCCCTTTATAGACGGTTTTCCCCTATCCCAAAATCCAAGATCGATTCTTCCCTTCGAATCCGCACTCGTGCCACTACCCTCTCCGAAAATCCAAGATGGTCCTTCCTTGAAAATCGTAAAAACGATTCTCTAAGTAACTCACCAAGAGGCGTTAAACCTCCTCTAATAAGCGGTACACCCCTTGTCTATGACGACTTAAGGAAAGTGCGAAAAAAGGGGTCATGAGGTACATTTTGGAAGAGGAATTCGTATTGGATGCAATGATTGGTGTCCGATGAAATCTCTTCGACACGTGACACTCCCCGACTCGGCCCGCTCTTTGGAACGTGCCCGCTTACTACGTGCAACAGGCTGTAAGCAGCTTCCAATTAAGAAGTGTTTTATACTCGGTGATGGTGATAAGGTGATCCGAAGTCTTGAACTGGTATTTCTGCTTATCTTTTTTAGCGGCTTTGATCACGAATGCAGCGCACAGGCGCTTGTTGATCTGCTTCCGACAATTGAATGCCTCACGGAACCCAAGGTACTCCCAAGTAGCACACTAGCGCTATGTGGGAACGGTATCGTCGAGGAAGACGAAGACTGTGATTGTGGGCCAGCAAAGTACGTTTCTCAAGCATATCTATTCTATCATATTTTTTTTCATACTCGAGATAGCCTCACGCCTTTCAATCCTTTGATGAAAAGGGGACAATCATTTTAACAAGAGCAATGAACCCAGTCGAGTTAATGCTGACCAAGAGGCAAGCTCCGGGAAAAACTCGTGTATGAGAACGCTCCGTAAGTGATGACTGAGCTGCGAAAGGAACTGCAAGTGCAAGAAAAATCATCGGAGCTCTATTGTCCTCAATCTTCATATAGGTTGGATTGGTGGATAAGTGTGATCAGAGAATACGCAAGAGAGCGCGCCGTTCGAGAGAGCACGTTGAACTCTACATCAATCGCGGTGGGTGGGACGCGTTGCAACGCAGGGCGATGGTTGCAGTCCCGCAAGGATGAGCGCCCTAATCGCGCTGTTTGAACAAGCGAAGCTGGCGAGATCTATGTAGGTACGGACCCTACAGTTCCCTCAGCGGTGTCCTTCCTACTAGTCAGGGCTTGTTTTAAGTTTACCTGCGAACTTTAAAAGTAAAGCTATATCGAGACAGCTGCCACGTGAACAGTAGCTACCATCTGTTTGTTATTGATTTTTTATTCAAGAGCAATTAATGTCCTATGAGCTGCCCGAAGCACTCTGCTAATATGGTTTGTTCACTTGCTATACGAAATCCATGGGATGTGAGGAGGGCCGCGGCACAAAATTGCAGCGTCCACCAAGGAGGGAAACAGGCACCGTCGTGATTGTCTCGACTTTCTGGAACCACTTCAGGTGCCCATATTTGTGATTAGCCTTCCAAATCCTATGAGAATACCTAGGTCTCCTTTCAAAACCTCAGTTGAAAGCTCAAAGTATTTTCTGTTGAAACCGGCTCGTAACTAAACTGTGGCTGGTTAAGGGTCGAGAATATGTACATATTTGGTCCATTGTTTGGCATAGTGGTGGTTATGTGGGAGGTTCTAAGTTTCCCCGAATATTCGTGGCCTACAGAAATTATCTATGCCTCGTATTCCATGAAAGCAAGCCTACAGCTAGGTAACCAGATGCAACAAACCTATGATCGATGGACAGCGGAGCCAATAAGCCTCAGCAAAACACTAGGAACAGTTAGCCGATCTATGTAGTTTTCAGCCCTTGCTCCAACCTCTACTTGCGCGCTTAGGGCTCAAAGAACATTTGTATTGACCTTCCGTGCAAATTAACAACGCTCACTACAAAACATTGCTCGTAAAAAATGCAATTTATTCCCACGTCTTAACATTCCTCAATCGACTTGTTCTAATGTTGGCGCTGTCGCAGGTGAACGTCAACGACCTTCTCTCCTTTTGAACATTTTTTCGATTTGACAATGTTTGGATTGAAAGCACGGTTTCGTTTCATCTAACAATAAGATTGCTTTATATGGCTCTTACCGGGGAAGTCGTTCCAGAAGAGGACAAACTTCTCAAAACGGATCTATGTATCTTATGAGTGCACCTATATAGACACAGAAATGAAGTTTATTTCTTCCGAGTGGCCCTGGAAATGCCAAAAATTAAGTGGAAACCATGGCCTGTTCGATCCACACCAAAGACACCTTCTTACATTTTCCTGGTTACAATTTTCTTAAGCTATGTCTAATCTTCTCAGAAACTTCCATTATGCATTCCCGTTCGATATGATAAATACTGCTCGGTTCATGTTAAAATTGCCAAAGAGTATCAGTCTGTAAGAAATTTCGATATTTTCTGGCAGTGCAGAGCCGTTCAACAATAAAAAGATCAAGTTCATGCTTCCATTCAAAGTGATCCCCCCCACCCCACTCCACCCTTATTATTAGGTTGTCTCATAAGTGATGTCGTTTTTTTTCAACCAAAAAATTTTCATCTAAATCATGAAACTTTTACATCGTTTTATATATCATTCGAAAGAGAATTGTCTGCTCTACAAAATGCTGTGTTCCGCTTCCACCGCTATTTCAGAGTTTTCGAATTTCAGGCCAGCAAAATGGGAGGTCTCGCCGGCAAAAATTGACCAAACCGACAACTGGCTGTAACTTTATTTTCCCTGGGGAGAAATCAACCAGTGATATACCCTATACTTACCCATGACCTCTTCTAAACATTCCACTCTTAGGTTGCCGAAAAAGCTTTGCCGTTTTTCTTTTCGAATTGGCTGACGGATAAGCCATAGCAATTTTCAAATTAAAATTGTTCCTCGTAAACGTCATTGTTTCATATCGAGTGGTGTTCCTTTTACGAGCACTTCTTCTGCTCTACTCGCTCATTTGTTTTGTTTCTCTGTTTGTTGGGAATTAGTTCGAATTTTAGATGTTTCGGTATAAGGTGCTTTACCGCGAAAGTGACCACATTTCTTTGAAAAAAATTATCCCTTAGAAAATGAGAAAATCAACCAGTCGTACATTCCTAACTTAGTCATGACTTGTTCTTCAAATTCAACCAGTTCTTCAACGTCTCGGCCATAAAAAAATTTCGACCTAGATCACAGGTAATGGTGCTCGATCGTCGAGTTCTGGTTGAAAAACCAGCTCTGGAAATTGAACGACGCGATTTGTAGGAAAACCTAGTAGTGTAATGATTAGAAGAGGTCATGCATAAGTAGAAGGTACATCATAGATTGATTTCTCCCAAGGAAAGATAATGTTAGAGATAGTTGTCGGTTTGGCCATTTTTTGTCGGCCGGACCTCCCATTTCACAGGCCCAAAATTTGAAAACCCTGGAAGAAATGTGGAAGTGGGACATAGCATTTTGTAGAGCAGACAATTCTCTTTCGAATGGTACACAACACGATGTAAAAGCATGGAGGTTTAGATGAAAATTTTTTGGATGAAAAAAAGCGACACTGTTTATGAGACAACCTAATATTTCCCGTGTGTCTCTTGCTCAGCGAAGTTAGAACGTTACAATACTGCAGCAGGTCAGCCGGTGTATGCCCGATTTCGAAATCCATCGATTCCTCTCACCCACCAGTGTTGATCTCCCCAACTCCTCTCCTCACTCAGCACCACACCCTTACCACAACGAATTTATCTGTTGTACACGATTCTGAGACCCTCCTCACACTGCCGTTAAGCGGGGAAGAGAGGGAAGTATATAACAGACGAGAGACAGCAATTGCTCTTATTTCGATAATTCCACATTTTTTTCCTTAATCGTGGAAAAACAGATCAAATTGAAACCTTCCCTTTCACAGCTTCAACTAGAGTAATACAAGTAATACACACCTCCTTCTCACTAAGATAAGAAATACAGGTACTGTTGTGATATACAAAAGGACGAAATTGAGTGGTAGGAGGGTTTTTGGTACGATCACAATTAGGTCAATTCAAAAAAGGAATGAGTGGAGCAGTAAGAAAAGCCTCGCGGTGGGAGAGAGATGATGTTGAATGTAGATTTGATAACGCAACAGCAGTTCCTGATCTTGTAACATTTGGTGTTTCGATTCAGATAAGCTCATAAAAACTCATTTGCAAGTGGTAGGAGTTTAGTAAATCGTAGTTTAGAATGTTGAGTAAATCGGCTACAAATCATTCACTTAACTCATTAAATTCACTCAGTCGAAGAAGGAATTCACGATGAAAAGGCAACCCATCAGAAGTTAAAGTAGCAGTGGTCACTGGTGCAAGGATGAATAAAAAACATGGGAAACACTCAAAACCATTGGTTTTTGTCTTGATGCGACACTCACCAGTGCTGAACCCTTCAACCAATGCTCTCTCTGCTTGCTAGAGCCAGTCGGCGAGAGTGTGGGCGGGCAGTGGCGCGAGCGATGCGAGTATGGCTCAGCCAGACGGGGTACCCCCAGGAGGCCCGTCGCGCGGCAAGAAGGCAGAGTCGGCGGACGAGTTGCAGCGCGTGATGTGCGATGTAGGACGTGCAGTGGGACACTCTATTTAACTTGACGCGAAATCCCTATAGTACGCGCGCGACTCGTCCGCTGACTTTGCCTTCTTGCCGCGCGACGGGCCTCCTGGGGGTACCCGGTCGGTGGACATAACTTTCGCGTGCGTAACGCGCATGGTTACGCACCCTCACGGACTGATAGGTAAACCTCCCCTTCTCCAACCTCCGACCTTGTGGTGGCACCCTCCCCGTCGCTCAGGACTCAAGCGCGCTCATCCCCAATAAACGTTGCAGTTTGAGATCAAAGACTTCCAAAAACTTTGTAACTTTCATTATTTCCTGTTTTTGTGTCCTCGTGGGCTCTGTTCCTCTCACTATTTCAAGTATATGAGACGAATTTGGCCCTTCTTGGAGACACGCTCGTATTCTACTTCTATTCAGAACCGCAGTGGCATTTGAACGAGATTTGGCCTACTACAATCAATTGTGAGGGTCATCCGTATAAATCAGTGTTTCTACCTACTGAAATGAGTCAATATCCATTAATCGACCCCTGAGGGACGGAGGGCTTGCCTGGCTGGATGGATTTCGCATATCAGACACACGGTCAGGGCATGAACATTGCCTCGCATGGGCGCTACTTCTCAATGAATCACCGCCGCCATATTTTTAATGATACAGTAAGCTCTTCCGTCAAGGTAAAATGTTCGTAGAGGCAGAGTAAGTGAAGGAGTAAGTTAAAACTGAGGCTAGCTCTAAAATTTACTCCTTTTTTTCTGAGAGAGAGAATTGCTTTAGCAAATACTATTGAGATATGAGTGCGTGGTCGGCATTGCACCTGTTCACTTTCCCAAACATCATGTTTTAGATATTGCAATAACGCCTTGTGCGAACCACGAACGTGCCGTTTCATCATTGCACGGCAGTACTTGTATACAATAGTGACTTTTGGAGCAGCTCTGATAATCTGCTGTTTTCTGGTCCTAATCAAGTGAGTTCCTCGTCACATGTACTTTCATGTGGTCCTGTCTTGTTTTTATTTCTCTCATTATATGACTGAAGGCACAATCTGAATTTATAGTACGAGTTCAATGATTTAATTTGTAATTTGTACCGTTTTTTTTTTCATGAAATTGAGTTTGCATGTGAAGTACTGGGTTGTCTCATAATTCCTGTCGCAATTTCGACACTTTTGTTTATTCAAGTTTTATCTCTTCTGGGAAACAACTGACTAATAGCATAACCACCATCATGGTCACTGATATGCGTGCATTTACTAGTGGGCGTTTGGAAGCTTCCAGCCCAGAATGAAGGAAACTGGGGGTTGAAGAATTTGGAGAAGTCGTTTTTGGGGTGACCGCAATCTTTAACTTTCTTCTCTGGCAGATGCTTATTCAGGGCCGCAGGAGCGAACATCGATAGAGCGATCCAATCTAGATGTGCATGGAGGTATCATGGCCCTGCTTTCCTCCACAACGTGGTGAGTTGGCATTGCAATGTGAGGTCTAGGCGATACATTCGGAGAAAGGAGAATCCGAGACGTTCTGACGATTCCCTCGCAACCCCGAAGCCAGCCTAGAGGGCTATTCCGCGCTGACTTTAGCAATGCTTGTCTTCATACATTGAAGTGGTTCCCAAACCAGGCCACCTAGCGAATCCAACAAAACGAGAGCGATATTCTCAGAAAACGGAGTTCGGGCTTTGGTTGAGCTGGTGCTTCCTGGCTGCGAGGCAGCCATCAGAAGTGCCGCATGTTGTTGTCGCAGTGGACTCATGACTCATTTCCACTGGTGACCGATTAGGGAAGGCTCTGCTTTTGCCGTCCCAGAATGGATTTTCCCCAGATGGTCAGGCGTGCTTCCCGCTCATGGTCGGCCGGACCATAAGGTTTCCATCAAAACTTTCATTCTGCAGCAGTCCTTGCCATACTGATGGCGTGTGCTGGTGCATCGGCTGCGCTCAGGTATCTGCTACAATACCCTGGTAGCAACGTGCGGAGGCACTCCCAATTTAGGGTGCAAGGGGCGCTCATCAAAAATGACCGCAGGCCCAGTATGAGGTTGAAGTTCATAGCTCGTTTCGTCTTTGCCGTTGCGATTGGACCACTAGCTCAGTACCCTATCAGTAGCAGAGACTGAGGTCAAACACAGCGCTGATCTTCTCTGTTGTCCTCCTTGCTACAGAGTTCATTTGAGGATCGTAAAGCATAATCATTGATTGCAGTCACTGACCTATTTTTATTACTAGTTGATTAACCCGTTAAAGGAACTTCTTGCGCTTCTTTCCGAAACCACGCTGTTAAGGCACTTGAAGCATACTTCAACATACTAACGTATTTCGCAATGAAACGATCTTAGACGGAACAATTTTCAAATTGAATAGAAACGAGACAGGAATTATGAGACAACCCAATATGGACACAAAAAGGGATGGTAATTTGAGTCTATCCGTATGGCGCTATCCTCCCCTCCCCCCCCCCCCCCCTCTTCCGTTGCAGCTGTACTGCGGGTCATCGAGCGAATATCAAACCAACCATATATCAAATATTAAATGAGAATATTCATAGATATAACCAAATACCCTTTCATACTTTCAAACAACGTGAAAAAAAATTATTAAATTTTTTTATTTATTTTATTTATGTTTATCGGATGAGGTGCACTTTGACGCGGCCTAGAAAGAACTAACAATATAAAACACTGTTGCGGATCGAAGAGACGGTTAGGCTTCTATTATCTTTACGAGGAACTATCAAAACGTAGCAGTATGGAAAGCGACTACCGTAAACGGCCTATGTATATCGAGGGATCTCTTTTAGCTCGCCTTAATCAGCCGTCAGCTGGCCACGCGGTTTTCTTGCGTCTGCTAAACCAATAAATATTATACAATATTTATTGCACGGTTAACTGAGATGACGCTCCGCTCTTGCTTACCCCCTCGGGTATTGTTCCAATCTTAGGTCGGAGGAATCCTGTCTTGTAAGATCCGATCTTGAGGGAATCGACAGAAGTGGTCCGATCTTGTGCTTGCTGGCTGGGGAGCGATGGAGACTGAACTTGCCGGCTTCTGGTCGGGGGGATTTTATGCAGGCGGAGACGTCGGCAAGCGGAGAGTATGTAAGCATAGCCTAAAGATGAAGATGATAAGACATTCAAACGCAGAAAATATGTAAATATAAAAAACTGATTAGCTAGAAGATAAGGAAAACTAAAGGAAATCTTTCTAACCATATATAAATCTTATTTAATCTCTTGTTGCAATTTGCAACACTATACTCTTTCCATGTATTCAACACAGCACTGAGGAAAAATAGCACTGTCCCATCCACTAAGGGGGGACCAGAAAATCCCTCGGAACCTGCTGCGCATACCGAAAACGCCACCGTGACTTGGTGGAGCCAGGCCCCTTACCTGCACTGGTCGGCAATGGTGCCCATAGCACTACTATAGGCGCAATGGGAAGCCTGCCTGAACTTCGGGACACGAGGATACCGACACCCTCGTGGAACAGGCAAGGTCAAGGTAAGGACCAGATGCCACTCGTGGATTCTCAGCAGAAACGTATACTTCCAATTTGAAAGTCCAAAGCTCGTAGTGGAGGTCACAGACTTAGCAGACAGAAAAGTTTTCTGAGGTGTGTCCTTCTAGAAAGGAAGGGTTAAACGAAGAGGCGGAATATTCTGACTGATCGTGAGTATAAAAACTAATGCAGGGTCCCGATCCTCATGACTAGACCATTCCAATACTATGCGGTTCCAGAAAATCCTACGACACGTAACAAAACAAAGAATTTGACTTGTTTTGTTTGTTAACTGCTGTTTTAACGCCGCAGTTCGCGTTGCGAATGTTTCACAAGAATGCTGGGTTGTGAACAAAACTTTCGCCCCAGGCGGGACTAGAAGCGAGAGGTGCGGGTTCTAGTCCCGCCTGGGGCGAAAGTTTTGTTCACAACCCAGCATTCTTGTGACACTTCAAACAAGTTCTTTAGGAAAAGACCAAAACTCTTTCCAGTAGTTTTGGTATTTGATTGCTGCAGTGTATCTTCGGAGGTTTCGGCAGAAGCGTAAATGGAGGCTACGTGCGGCGTTTAACTGTTTCAAACTTGTCTCTGAATCAACACATCTTTTGACCTATTTTATTTTTCGAGCTCCTGTAAAGCCACCCGTTTGTGTCCTTGCAGCTAGCATCTGTGCTGTAGTCAGGGGGATGTCATTCACTAGGCCATGGTGTCCCGTTGGCCTTGTTCCCTCGCAACTGGAGATATTTTGTTCGAAATGGGGCACGAGCTGGGCGTTTACCAACTTCTAAGAGGCGCAGCCGGTCGGTACCAGTAGTAGGTTAACAACAACGCTTATGTGCATTCATTCGACAATTGTCGAGGATCTGCACGATCTCGGTTACAGATCAGTATGTTCGCCATTGACACCACATGGGTTGCGCCAGTCTGGGGAGGCGAACCGTGTGACCATGATTCAGATTTCTCTTCTTCTTTCGCATCAAAGGAATCTCTTGACAAAAATGATGGCTAATGAAGATAGCTCTGGCCTTGACTAAACTATACACATAAGCACTACTGGATTCGACAAGGAGGAAAGCTACCCGCAGGAACGAAAAGCAGGCCTTCGTCAAGAAGGACTTTTTAGTGTTTCTGAGGTTCGCAAACTGATTCGCTACAGAAAGCTGCTGGATACCTGCACCAGGGTAACGACCATTGTCGGCTTCAACAACCTTCGGAAATTTGGCCGAAGCCATGCGTCAAATCACGCAGAAATTCTCGAATACGGTGTTACCCCACCCTAACCCGTCTGTATGTATGTTTTTTTTTTTTTTTTTTTTTTTTTTTCTGTATGTGGCGAAGATTACACATGAGGAGATCGTGGATTTTGATCGGGAAATTCTGCAGTGCTTGGCTTACTCGCCTGACTTAGTCGTTTCTAAATATTGCGTAATTAGTACACTGAAGCGCTACCTCGAAGAGAAAAAATCCAATGATTGAGGTCACCTCGAAAATTGGATGAAGCGCTTCTTTTCGAAGCAAACGCCGGATTTCTAAAGTAAGAGGGTTGAGAAGTTGCCCAGAAAAAGTACACGTCTCCTACGTGCTACCGGTGATAACCGTGCTGATTGAATATCCCATTCAACAAAAAAAGGTACAGTCAAAAATCTTGGACAAAGTGTCGCAGGATTTTCTGGACAACCCAATAGTATTAACATTTAACCCATAACGGACGGCGTGCGCCACATGGTGGCGCACGATTATTTCTTTTGTTTTTGTTACGTTTCTAGCAATCTTAATATACCCGTATATACTCTCAGCAATGTGGAATAACATATCTTCCCAGGACCTGGACGAGTGGATTTTTGACAAACCTACAATAAATTTTACATACATTTGTCTTAATTTACATAAGCTTACTATTTGATGGATGGCTTACAGATGGTTCACTCGTCCCGAGACCCCTTCCCCTAAATATAGCCACATCCTTGCTCGGGGTTGTTGTTCCGCATTTTTCCATGATTTCACCTGCAGCTTCCATTCATTCTTTGCACCCTAGTTTTAAAGCGGAAAGGCGGGTTACGAAGTTGTCGTCAACGGAAATCTCTTCTTTTGGATGATGAGACAAGGACACCTACTTTAGCCCCGTCTTAACCCTGCTGTTCGCATAAGCCTACATAAACCCTACCCTGTGTGGCGGCGTGCGCCATGTGGCGCACGCACAACACTGGCCGTCCGTTATGGGTTGAAAGAAGGTAAAACAAGCAAAGCACAACGGGAAAAAACGCATTGCTTCAATGCAAAAAAAATTGGAGTAAAGAATATAAGTCTTCTGCATAAATATCGGAAGGATACGCTTCATGTATTAACTCCCATAGACCAATCCTTCAACAAAGGGCTGATTCCAACTGTAGCGAGCCCCAGTCGGGAATCGTTGACTGAACGCTGTTTTGGGAAGATTTTTTACGGAATCGAATCTTGTGCAAATCGTATTTTTTTA